TTAATGCTTTTTCTTTTGACAGTTGTGTAATAGTCCATTACGTATTTAAATACAGATCTTCCATACATACATATAGACAGAGACAATTGTGTAATACTCCATTATATATATATAATATAGATTATATATATAATACATACATACATACATATACACATAATACATAAATACTAGGTTATTTCCAGACTCCCACTTCTGTAAACAGTACTGCAGGGAATATTTACACATAGGTCATTTTCTACATATGTCATTTCCTACTTGAACAAATGCATGTGAATGCATGAAATTGCCCATCCTGACTTTTTAATCTAGAAAAAGTTTTACACAGTTCAATCTAGTATCTGTAGAATGTATTTTCAGATGTGTAGTTATTGGAGACCAAGTGTTTAGTGTCTTTTGGATTTTCTGCTCTACTACCAGATGTGCATGATCACTTAAATGCCTAAGAAGGGCATGGGGATGCATTGTGTAAATGTTGTGTTCACTATAGCTAAGGGGAAAAATGCCAATGCACATACTGGGATATTTCTCAAAGTCCTTTGCCAGTGACTTCATTCAGTGACATGTGTAATTCTTACCCTGGTTCAACTCTGTTAGGCTTCCTTGCCTGTTGAGGAAAGCCTTTGCTTTCTCCATATTGACAGACCTAAGACTAGAGCTCTGAGCCCTTTATCTTTCCCAAGGGGGAGTTGCCCAAAATATCTTCTTATCTACTCTCAGTGCGTAAGCGTCCATTGGTTCTCCCAATTATTGCAGCTTTGATATTAATTAGGTCTTAGGTGCTAAATTAGATTCTCTGAAAGAGGCTGACTTTTTGTACACAAGACAGATAGATGGGGTGTGCCCTTGTACATAATGAGCCAACCAGTTGGAGTCTTGGCTTCGGCAACACTGGTTGGTTGTGTGTGTTTGTATGAGAGAGAGAAAGTAAATATAGCAAAATTTAACAACTGGTTAATATAGGTGAAGGGGAATAATATAGGATGTCTCTTGTGCTATTCTTCCAAATTTTCTATAGATTTAACTTTTTTTAATAAAAATTTGAGAGAAAGGATATCCTTTGCTGAAATTATTTACTGTGAATTAGGGACTGCTTCATTACCTATTTATGTTCTTGGTTTTTGTTTTTGCTATTTCTAAATCTGAAGACATCTTAGAAACTTTGCCTCCAGATTAAAAAAAAAAATCAATGATGATAGCAATTTATAATTGTTGAGGGTTTCTTCTGTGCCTCATGTTGGGCTAAGCATTTTATGTGGATGATCTCATTTAAGCCTCTTATCAATCTATTATTGTCTTCCTCATTTTTCAGATGAGGCCACTCAGACACAGCGAGGTTAAGTAACTTGTCTCAAATTACACAACTGACATGGAGTAGAAATGCTCCTTGCCACCACACCTGCTGTCACTATACTTGACCTGGTCTTTATTTTAGCCTGAAGTATTCTGAATTGAGAGATTGATTATCATCTGGTTAAAACTCTTCTAACAATTTCCTAATCCAGATAATATGATAATCTGAAGGCTTCATGAAAGAATACAAGTGGCTATACACAGAGGGGAAAATTGTCAAGTTTCTTGACATGCTAATAATTTGCAAAGCTCTATGAAAAAGAACTCTTTTGTGTATTTTGTGTCCCTATTGCAGTCAAGCTCTTTTTACCCCTTTTCTGAGTTAGCTTCTTATGTATAAAATTATCAGCCTGTGAAGAGGCATTAGTTGGTTCTTTTTCAGTATATTTACTGTACCTTTCCCTCTCTATTGACTCTTTTCTATCAGAATTTAACCACTTTCCCTTTTTATTCTGCACAGCCTCTGGCCATCACCATCTCTTCTCCAAGCCAAGCTTTCCTAACAAATGATTCTTATAAAGATACCATAGGGATCTTTCCCTGTTTTCTACCAGCTCCTCTACCCAGCCCCATCTTAAGCCCCCTACTGCGGGTTTCCTTGTAGGAATTTTTCTGTGCTGTTCTTTTATTCACACTACTGAACCTACATTTCATGCACAGTTTTATAGCCTGATTTTCTTCCTACTTTAATATTGGGGAAATTTTTTCAGGTCATTAATTTTGAAACCTTTTTTATTGACAAATAGCATACATACAGAAATGTACACATTTTAATTTCAGTGATTTTTCATACAATTTCATTAGCTTCTAGATCACAAAATAGAAATTACAGAGTTCTAGGGGCACCTGGGTGGCTCAGCCGGTTAAGTGTCCAACTTCAGCTCAGGTCATGATCTCACAGTTCGTGAGTTCAAGCCCCGTGTCGGGCTCTGTGCTGACAGCTAGCTCAGAGCCTGGAGCCTATTTCAGATTCTGTGTCTCCCTCTCTCTCTGACACTCCCCTGCTCACGCTGCCTCTCTCTCTCTCAGAAATAAATAAAACATTACAAAAAAAAAAATTAAAAACAAAAAAAGAAATTACAGAGTTCTAGAACCTCCACCAAATTCCCCTTCAGTCATTTTATCCAGCTTCCCAAAGTTATTCTGACTTCTTAAAGCAGAGATTGTTTTATGTGTATGAAATGCATATATACACAGTCATACTTGTATACTTTTTGTTTCTTGTTCTTCCACTAAAAAATACTGTTTGTGAGATTCACCCACATTATATGCAATTATTGTAGTTGATTATTCTCATTGTTAAATAATCTTCTATTGTATGAACATATATTAATGTTTTTAAACATAATGGCTATATATTATTCCATTGTACAGATATACCATAATTTATTAATTCTCCTATTTTTCCCGGTTTTTACTATTGTAAATAACCCTATATTAAACATCTTTGAATAAATATTTAAACTAATGCCTGACCACTCCTTAGAATATATTCTAAAAGTGCATTTACTAAGAGTATATAAACTCTTTAAGAATTCTTAGTACATATTGCCAGACTGCTTTCTGGAAAGAGATTACCAGTTTACTTTTCTGGTGACACAGTACCTGACACCTAGCTATTCAGTAAAATTTCATTGACATGAACTGAATGTACTAAAGTTTTCTATATCCTAGGATCCATTTCTGAGTTTTCTGTGTCACTGATCTGTCTTCTTTCTAGTTTATTTTTTAATTAATTTAGATTTTTGAAAGTATAATAGTATACAGGGCACAAATTCTCTCCCTAAATCTGTTAAAAATTATTTGATTTGTTCTTGCGTTTTAAATTTTTATTAGTACAGCTTTAAAATACATACATTGCCAACTTAAGTGGGAAAAATGAGGATTTCACTGGAATTACCTTCCTGGTATTTCTAAAATTTATGTAGCAAGAATTGACATATTTATATGTCATAGGATTTATATAATCCTATCCAGGGATGGTTCTCCATTTATTCAAGTGTTTTTATTAAACCCTCCTCAGTAAAGTTTTGTAGTTTATTCACATGGGCCCTAGAATTCAAAAAAATTTATTTCCATGTGTATTTTGTGGCTGCTGGGAATTGGATAATTTCATTATATTTTATATATTATATATATATATAGTTATTTGCAAGCTTTAGAGCTTTATATATTTATTTTGTATTTATCCTCCTTATTGAGCTCTTATTAATGCTAACAGTTTTTGTTTTGAGTTTGCTACCATTTATGCTTTGGGGTTTGTGACCATATCATTTCTAAATTTGGATAGGGAGAATTGATATCTGGGATAAAGATAGAGAAAAACAGTAACCTGGAAAACTGTTTTAAAAATAGAGTTGTAGAATTCTGATCATTTGTAAACTCCATGTTTCTCCTGCATTGCGGTGCTGTCTCAGCCAAATCCAAACCATCTTCTCTAGCCTTATATTTTGAATGAAGAAGCAAGTCACAGAGTTTGAAATTTTTAAATATGAAAATAGTCTATCGTTACATTAGGTAAATCACTCCTACAAAGAAAACCCTGTCATTTTGTGCTACTCTAAATTTACTTTTTTCCATTCTCTCTTTTTTTAAACTTCCCTTTTCTTACTTGTTCTCTATTTTCCTTCTCTGTTTCTTTTTAGGAATATAGTAATTTGGGAAGAAACTTTTTAAATACTAATGGAAAATAAATTTCAGAGTAAGGGAAAAAAGAAAATCTTTCAGTTTTATTCTCTAATTTCCCCCCCCATATTCTCCTATATCTTTCTGTTCTTCTGATTATTTCCCATAATTCTCTATTTCCTTATATACCACTTATTTACTTGAAAGCTTTACACATATGTACATGTGAGATATACATGTTTGTGTTACATATTTTGTATCACCGTCTCAGAGGTAAGAAAAGATGTCTAGGTTATATATATACATGTTACTGCATATATAATAAAAATATTTTTTCTGAGTTTAAACAGTTTATTTCTAATTTTCTAAACACTTAAATTTGCTGTTTTATGACTTATTCATTTTAAGGGTTTTCTTTTATTGCTTTATCTTAAGAATAGTTTTAAATACTGAGAAAGTTAAACCACAAATGTAATCAGAAAATAATACTTTAATCCTAGTTAATCCACATTATTGACCTTCTGTGCCTACATCAGCCACAATAGCAGAATGTCTGGTACATAATCTCTTGTGTGGACACCCATATCCCCTGGCCAAGTCTGATCTAGAAATGAGATCCTCTTTTGGGATGATGGTTTTGCTGATTTTTAGGAAACTAACATCTAGGATCTCATTTAATCCTCATAAGAGACAGGACGGTTGCACTGTCTTATCTAATTTGTAAAGTGAAACTAGGTCAGATGAACTACAGATAGTTGTGACTTGCTCTAAGTGGTCTGTAAGCTGAGGCTGGTGTTACTAAAATACATATTTCCTTTGTCAAAATAAAAAGAATTCACTATCTCCAAAATGACAGTAGAATTAGAGTATGAGAACTTAAGAATCCTATCTTTTGAGAATAGAAATTATATTTTTAAGAAGGCAGATGCTGTAGGGTGTGTTTCTGTGGATGTTTGTTGCGCTTGGCAGCTGGGAGGAGAGAACTAGAATGAACAACGAGGACGCTGTGTTCCCAATCTCACCTATGAAGCAGGTTCACAAGCAGGGATGGAGGACAGCAGTCAAGATTAGCTCAAAGGTTGCTTCCGTGTCTTAGCTACCAATGAAGTATCAGAAACTGTAGAGGTAAAGTGATAGGCTTTCATTAAGGAGATGTAAAAACTGGTTCCAAGTCCTTAAGAGAAAATAGAAATGAAACATAAGGGCCAGAAGTAATTACACCACTAGCATAGTTAGTTAAGAATCAACAACACAACTGCTTCAATAGACACCTTGTTCCATGTGGTATTTGGTTTGTTTCGCACAAAGTCTTTTTTTTTTTTTTTTTAATTTTATATGTTTGTTTATTTTGGAGAGAGAGAGGGAGAGCGAGCGAGCATGCATGCAAGCAGGGGAGGGTCAGGGAGAAAGGGAGGATCCGAAACAGGCTCTGTGCAGACCTGATGTGGGGCTGGAACTTATGAACCATGAGATCATGATTTGAGCCAAAGTTGGATGCTTAACCGACTGAGCCACCCAGGTGCCCCTTGCACAATGTTATAAAAGCACATGGTCAGTGTACTTCTCGTTAAGTGAAATGAAACCGGAAATAGACACTGTGCTCAGTCTACTCAGATTCAATACATTCACAAAAAGGAGGCAAAATGAAGAAATTGAAGACCATAAATGGATCCGGTTTGCTTCTGACAGTATGCCCTTCTGAAGGTGGATATTATTCATGGGGAGAATTCAGAGTACACAATTTCCTCTTACAATTATGTTAGAAAGCACATGGGTCTTAAACCGAGACAGAGCTAATTTGACTACTAACTATACCACTTAGGCATTTTGTGATGCTGGGAACTTTAAATATCTTTATTATTGTTATTATTACCTGTTAAATAAGCAAAAATATTCCTTCTTAAAGTTGTTGTAAAGAGATTATCCCCTTTCATGAAGTTGTCACAATTTCCTTGGAAAGTAGGAAAAAATACTTAAAATCTTTTAAAGATGAGTGCTGTGTAAGGAAATAAACAAGACCAGCCTGGATACATGTTATTGTATCATCTGATTCTGTTGTTCAGTTAGTCTCTGCCTCTCCTCCTTAGATAGACATTGCTCAGTGGTCTGAACTATGTTAGAGCTTTTGTTGGCTATGAAATATCCTTGTGTGGTTGTGCGTGCTACTTTTCTGTGTAGTCATTTACAAGTGAAAATGTCTTTAAAAAGTGGAAAGAATAAAGGATTACTTCTGTTCGGGTTGGTGGGTAATGGGTTAATGGAGCCATTGAGATCCTTATCTCCACCTCCACCTATACTTCTGTCTAGTGTCTATCTTTGTATCATATCTATGTATTCTAACTACCCTAATTACTCTTCTCATTTGTTTTTTGTTTATTTTGAAATAATTTTGAACTTACAGAAAAGTTGCAAAAAACAAAGAGCTTTTTGTTTTACCATTTGAAAGTAAATTAGCAAGATGACGTGTCATTACTTCCAAATACTTTAGATATGTAGTTGCTAAAAGCAGACATAGCTCCTACATAGGTCATTAGAATCAGGAAATTACCCATGGAAGCCCTAGACCCCCATTTATGTTTTGTTCTATTGATGTACTTGATAGCGAAAGGATCCCGTTCACAATCCTGTTAAACTGAGTTGCCCTGTCCCTTATAGTCTCCTTCAATCTGTACTAGTTCCTTAGTCTCTCCTTGACTTTTCAGTACCTACTTTTGAAGATTACAGACTGTTTATTTTATCAAACATCCCTTGGTTTGGGATTATCTGATATGTCCTCGAAATTAGATTTAGGTGATGCATTTCTCTTAGGAATATCACAGAAGCAATTTATTCTTCTCACTGCATCCTATACGGGAGTGCACAATTCCAGTTTGCTACATTCCGTGATCACTTACTTAGTCATGTCGACCAGATTTCTCTAGTGTCAAGTTACTCATTCTCTCTTTATGATCAGCTTGTGGGGAGTGGTGCTTTCAGACTGTGTAATATCCTGTTTCTTATCAACCTCCCACCCACTAGTTTTAGCATCTATCTAGGCTTCCTGGCTGATTTAATTATTATCATGATAGTTGCCAAATGGTGATCTTCTAATTACTTCATTCCTTCTGCATTCATCAGTTGGCATTCCACTGCAAGGAAGAGCTTCCTTCTCATATTTCTTTAATTTATTCATTCTTTTGTTTATATGAGCATGGGTGCATGGATTTTAAATATTTTGTGATTTATGGATATATTTTTAAAAATTTATTTATTTTGAGAGAGAGAGTATGTGTGGAGGTATGGGGAGGGACAAAGAGAGGAGAAGAGAGAGAATCCCAAGCAGGCTCTGCACTGTCAGGACAGAGCCTGATGTGGGGCTCCATCTCACAAACTGTGAGATTATAACCTGAGCTGAAATTGAGAGTCAAATGCTTAAACAACTGAGCCACCTGGACACCCTGGGTATTTTTTCATGGATTATAATCTGTTATTATCATTATTTATTTTGATGCTTCCAATGCCCCAGACTTGGCCAGTGGGCGCCCCTTCAAATTGTCCTCCTCATTCTTTGAGCCCTTTATGGCACAGATGAGATGATCTGGAGTCATGTTGACCCTGCTTGGACTCCAGTAGTCTGAACCAGTCTGAACCAGGGGAGATATAGGCCAGTCTCCCCTATATCCTCCTCTCCTCACTTGGGCTCTGAAATCCTGCCACTGCTTACCTGCCGGGACTCGATTCTTGAGGAAGAGAGAGAAGCAGGAAGAGGGACCTGGATGGATGAATGGACACATGGATAGACCGATGGACAGATAGGCTGGTTGACTAACTTTCAAAAACATGTTCTGCCCATAAAAATTGGGAAATAAAAAGACTAGCTCACTAGTCTGATAGGGAAACAGATATTTGGATAATCAGAAATGATGGATATGCCCCCAAATAATTTATGTATTTTATTTTGGAATGTATCTTAGTCCATTTGGGCTGCTATAGCAAAATGCCAGAGATTAGGTAGTTTATAAACAACGGAAATTAATTTTTCACAATATGGAAGGCTGGAGAGTCCAAGATCAAGGCACCAGTGTTGTTGCTTTCTGTTGAGGGCCCTCTTCCTGGTTCAGAACAGGTATCTCCTCCCATGTCCTCAGCTGACAAAAGGGGCTAGGGAGCTTTGTGGGGGCTCTTATTTAAGGCACTAATCCTATTCATGAATCCTCTATCATCGTGACCTAAGTACCTCCCAGAGGCCCCTCCGCCAGTATACTATCATCTTTGGGGGTTAGGATTGCAACATAGGAATTTTGAGAGGACACATTCAGACCATAGTAGAATGTTTCTATTGTCTACTCATGTTTGAAAATGAGTCCACTTACTATTTTGAGAACTCGGGGCCTAAACCAACCTAAGTTCTCCAGCTCATTTAATCTCACTTCTGTATAGGGTCTCGCAGTCTGAGAAATTTCTTCCTAAATCCTCTGTTTGCTTAATTTTAGAGTCAGGCTTAACAAGAAACCATATTCTTTATGCATTTCTTACCGAAGTCTTTTGTTCTGCAGTGTGTAAGTAGATGCATGATCTATAGATCAGCTGGCCCGGTACAGAGAGGTGAGCATAGTAGTTTCCTCCTCAGGAAGCCTTGTTGGGAGAGCTATGTTTTGCTTTTCTCTTTGACTGATAGGTTCTCCGTATTCCCTTCCTCTCACTAGGGCTGATGTGCCTTCCAGGAAGGTGACAGAGAGAGTCTGAGAGCAACAGGAGGGAGGTTTGCTTTTTTAAGTGTGGAGATAGGCAAGGTAGGTGAGTGTGAGAAGAGAAGGAATCTGATTGAGACAGGTTGAATGGAATGAGGCAGCTACTCCGAGACTTTGCATAACAGAGCTGGTTGGTTAATATGTTTGTCTTTCTGTCCTAGTCTTTTAAGTCTTAAAAAAAGAGAAGCTGCTTGAGATTGGAACTTTTTTTTAATGTGTTGCAATTAGGCACATGTCCAAATGAATCCTAATTTCACTAAGCCTGCCCCTAGGAGACTACTGAATTTATTTGAAATCACTGAGTCATGAAGGTATAAATATATAGTGAGGATTTAATAAACAAGCCTGATTTCAAGAATATCAAATTTATGAAACTGAGCAATGCTGTGGAATTAGGTAGTAATAAATTAGAAATAGAAGTTTAAAAGCACATAAGCCATCTACAATTTTTCGAACTTTAAAATGGCAAATGGTTTTACCGTTTAACCAGTCATGATATGAGCGAATCCTTCTTTATAAATTGAAAGAACTGTAGATTGTTTTGAACATTGCAACTATTTTTAGAGACACTTTTGTATCACAAATATGTTCGCATATATTTTAATGTGGTACTATGGTTTTTTTTTAAGGAAGGTATTTGAAAATTTATTAAATACACACTGGTGATAAATACTTAAAGACACAGCACTGAATACCATAAGATAAATAAAAGTATTTTATCAGAAGTCCTTTGGAATCCCAGCTACCACTTCTATTTCATGCCATTATCGTAAACTCACTGTAACTACATAGAACCCAGTAAAATCTCCTCTCTGGTTTCAAAGTCACCATGGACTCTGTCCTTTTCATTCTACCCTTAACAGACTGTTGGGAAGTGTTTCCAAGTATCTCACAGCTGGTCTACCTCGTCGTTCTTCCTTATTGCAGAAATCGTGTCCGACCTTTACATCAGAGCTGTGCTTATTGATCTCTCTCTCCTTAAGCCCTTGGTTCATCCTCTACCTTTCACCCAGTCCTGAGCACGATGAATGAACTTCTTTCCTTTTACCAATCATGGTGCATTATCTTCAGCTTCCTTTACACCATCTTTTTGACAATGCCCCGCTTGCAGTAATGCATCAGTCAGAAAATAAGCATTTCACTGGCCCCACCATGTGCATTTTTGGTACCAGTCACCATACAAGATGCTGGGAGTATTGTGGCAAATAAAATAAGCACATCACTGCCTTGGTGGAACTGACAGTCTAGTGGGAACAACAACTAATTAAACAAGTGAGTGCATACAGTTAAGTGATTGCAAATGTGTGCGGTGCTTTGGAGAGGGACCGGAACATACAGGAGTGTGGCGAGGAGGCACGAGGAAGGGAGGTGGAAGCTGAGGTGTGAA